ATATATATATATATATCTCCCTCTCACCTATCTATGTTTATCATCTTGCAATGCTACTTCTTATTACAAAGAACCTAGGATTTATTTTACCTTTCTTTCTCAACTTTTGTAAGTCTGCTTAATTTGTGGTCATAATGACTGAATACACATTGCATGCAATAGAACAGGAAACAAAAAGAAGTATGGTTATCAATGACTGTTTCACCCTTTCCTGAAACCAATTTTAATAAATTGGTTAATTAAAACTAAAACAGACTAAAGCTAAAGCTACTAGTATAACTCAATGCCCATCATTAAATTAAATCCATAATATGGCATTTTTAATATTTGAACAGATTATTGCTTAATTATTTCATGAATTAGTTTATCATCTGTTATAGATCACTTAAATTATTTTGATGTCTAAAGTAGAAAAATCCAAAATGTGGTTGCCTATTGCTGTTATATGGAATTGATAACTTTTCCTAATATCTGCCATAGGATGTATCCTTGCATCAATACAGCTTCCAAGTCTGCCTCTTTTTATAATGGGAACCAAGGAGAGGAAATAATAAATAACTGAAACAGATACATAAGTTATCTAGGAGCTTCTGAATACTAATACATATGCTTACCAGGAATGTCCCATGCTACGAATATGGAATCTGCATTAATTACTGTGATATTGTATGGTATGTGAATCTCCTCCGGTGTTGTTGCTGGTGTCTGGACAATATATTTTTCACTGATATTGCTACCACCCCATGTACTGGCTTCTAGCTGGTAAACGTATCTATAAATACACATGAAGGTGCAAGAGAAGAGAAAGAAGAAGAAGAAACAAAGCCGAGAATATAAAGATATTTTACAATTATTTTAGCATTCATTATATTTACCATATCCCAACACAATGTAATGTCAACCATTTATGTGAATGTCACATGACTCCCTCCCTCCCCCCCTCTCTAACACACACACACACCTTAATCCATCCATTTTGTAGTTATGCATTAAGAGCAGGTGCTTGAAATAAGTGCTTATTCTTTGGCCATCATGCATATGTATAGTGGAAGGTGGAAGAGGATCAAGGAGACCTGCTTAACAGCTATTCTGCCTGAGGGAGTTTACTCACTATCTCTCAGATCAAACTATCTCACAGGGTTGTTGTAAGGGAAAAAAACTGGAGAAGGAAACATTATGTATGCTGACATTTATGCTCCTATATGAGAGATGGGATACAAATCTTACAAGTAAATATCTAACACGCTTATTGTTCTAAATTATACTTCCTATGTGTACAAGTAGGGGGAAAAAACTTCCATAATTTGTGCCACCATTTCTTCTTTCCTTTATTTCATGCACTTCTTTTTAAAATATGGTTTCTGAGACAAAAACCTATCTGCTCATGGTAGCTGCAGCTGGATTGACAAAACAACATATTTGTAAACCAAATCAACAGTAGAAGTATGGCTGAACATTTTGCATGCCTTAATTAAAAATATTACTATGTGATAGATATGATTGATTGGTAATTACAATGGGTGGAAATAGATAGCCAGCCTTGGCTAATCTAGAAACTAGGCAGGATCAGTTATGGTAAACATGTGAACAAAGAACCACTTTGACCCTACAGGCTAGAGATTAGACTAGGAATATAAATCCTAGCAGAAACCCACTTCCATATCATGGCAATAAAAGCACACCCTGAAATGTAATTCTAGAAATTTGAGACTTGGATTAACCTAACTGTGGTTAGGTGAAAGCTATTCTGGAAGGCCCAATTGGATAATTATTAGTTACCTGTAAGACTTGTTTTCCACAATCCCCATAGGTATCTTTATGTGAAGTTCATGGGACCCTGTATTCAGTGTCATTTTGATTACAATGTTGATTTACATGAGCCGTTCATGCTGGAGTCAACAATTTAGGCTGTGCAGAGCTCCTGATTCAGAAGCTTAATGTGATTTGGAGCCCACATAGGCATGCCTGGAGCTCCAACTAGAAGCTCCTAAAACAGTTCTCTTTTCCTGGGCTTGTGTGGCTGCCATCTAGAGCAGATATCAGATCCTTGGAAAGGACATGTTTCATTTAAGGTGATCCCAACAGGTGTTAAATGCTGCCCATGTGTGTTCCAAATTATATCTTGCTCATCAAATCTACATATCTGCATAGTCCTTGGGTTAAGCCCCAACATATGTTAAAGTATGATATATCAATTTATATTATAAAAAACTGAACAACATCCTTTCTCAAATAAGTAACATTTTACCTGTTATTTGGTTGCATGGTGGAATGGGTGAAATTCAGATTTTCTCCACCACCTTTGAAAATCTCTTCTCCATCACAAAATAATCTATATTGAATGACAATTCCATTGGTTTTTTCTGGCTCATCCCAATACAATTCCACTATTTTAGAGCTTACTGTAATATGGCGAGGCTGTGACCATACCCCTAAAATTACATTAGTAAAACTGTGTTTATAATAATATTTGTATATATGTAGTTTCATAAATGTATTAAAATATGTTAACACATTAAAAAAAATTAAGCTCATTTCAGATTCATCTTTAGAATTCCTATTTTTTTAATAAATTCATTTTACTTATAGTTAACCATCAACCTTAAAATTGTACTCCACCTTCTTGAGGTAATACTAAACAACAGCAAAAGTATTAAAGTACACAATATAAAAGACCTATATAGGAATACAAAATTCACTAATCATCAATCAATCAGTGTACAATAGATTATCATTCCAGGAAAAATAAAAATAAGTGTTTGATCAGTTTTTAAAACAGAATAACAGAGTTGGAAGGGACTTTGGAGGTCTTCTAGTCCAACCCCTTGCTTAGGCAGAAAACCCTACACCACTTCAGATAAATGTTTATTCAATTTCTTCTTTAAAACTTCCAGTGTTGGAGCATTCACAACTTCTGGAGGCACGTTGTTCTACTGATTAATTATTCTAACTGTCATAAAATGTCTCCTTAGCTCTAAGTTGCTTCTCTCCTTGATTAGTTTCCACTCATTGCTTCTTGTCCCACAGGTGCTTTGGAGAATAGCTTGACTCCCTTTTCTTGTGGCAACCTCTGCGATATTGGAACACTGCTATGATGGTGACATAGTCCTTTTCATTAAACTAGACACCCAGTTCTTGCAACTGTTCTTTATATGTTTTAGCTTCCAGTCTCCTAATCATTTTTGTTGCTCTACTCTGCACACTTTCTAGAGTCTCCTCGTCTTTTTCACATCGTGGTGACCAAAATTGGACGCAGTATTCCAAGTGTGACATTAAATAACAACAAGGTAATATCTAAATGAAATTTGCTTGGGAGAAATTTTGAAATCATGGATCACAACCGAATAACCCTTTCCCACTCTTAACATTTGCATGCCTCAGGGAAAAAAGGGCAAAATAATTCCACATTTTGAGGATCTTAGTGTATATGTCAGCATATGTATACATTCTGTAAAAAGTTACCAAAATGTAATATAGTTGCTGTAATATGAAAGAAAAAAGGATATGATGTTTTGAGGCAAAGATATCACACTTAGCTTTAGTTATACAGAATGCAACCAGTTTACAGCAGGACAATTTGTCTTGTTCCACAGATGTATCTTATGCTATTAATGCATTACGATATATGTCCAACCCCTACTTGTTTTAGGAAAAGTATAGTTCTTTAGAGCTCCACCCCCTGCCAACAGTCCAGGCAGACATATCAACAGCCTGTCTTGCATGAGCTAAAATTAAATTTATTGGTTCTTGACCAGTTAATTAGCACATTTTACAGAACTAACTGGATTGACAGTTTTTTAGCTTATGTCTCAGCACACTTTATTTTAACATGGATCAATGTAAGAGGGTGTGGTCAGTAGTATTACATAAATATGAATTGTCCTGGAATATAATTAGCAACTTATAGTTTTTATTTTTATTTTGGAAAACTGTCACAATGAAGTTTACAAAAACAATAAAAAGAAAAGCTAATTTAAAGGGAGAGGCTGACAAAAGTTAGGTCTCATTCCATATTTTCAATTTATGGGAGTTTGGTTACATATATTAAATTTTTCACTTTTTGTATCATCATTGACATCATCAGTGCATTCTTGTTAATTAATACTAACCCATATACACAATTACAATGGCAAAATGCACTATTCAGGGTCATGTGGGTAAGGAAATTGCTGAAAAACAAATTAATTGACAAAAGAGCTTGAGATCTTTCCCTTGCATATAAGACTATGTGGAAGTCTGAAAACTTACACTTAAGGAGTTCTTTACACTTTGTTTTCCTTCCCAGATGTTTCATTACCTGACTAGCAGAGGTGGTATTCAGCAGGTTCTGACCAGTGCTGGAGAACCAGTAGTGGAAATTTTGAGTAGTTCGGAGAACCAGTAAATACCACCTCTGACTGCCCCTGCCCCCATCTAGTCTCTGACTCCCGAGTCCCAGCGGATTGGGAGGGAATGGGGATTTTGCAGTAACCTTCCCCTCAAAGTGAGGAGGGAATAGAAATTTTACAGTATCCTTCCCCTGCCATGCCCACAGAGCGACACCCACCAAGGCATGTCACGCCCACCAAGCCACGCCCACAAAACTGGTAGTAATTTTTTGGGAATACCACCATTACTGAATAGGTAATATCATAAGTGCTAGTGAGTATGGGGTTTGCTCTCCGTCAGTCTTGCTGGGGGTGTGGTTTGTCCTTGGTAGTTGTTTGATTAGAGTATAGCTTTCTGATTGTTAGTTTGTCTGGTGTTAATCTCTACTTATGTAGTTGTTGGTTGCTATTCTGGTCTTTTGTTTTTCTTCTTAGCTTTTTAATCAACTCTTTTAAATGTTCTATAAATAAGGTTTATTTCTAAGGGTCTGGATCTGTGTGTTCACTTCTACCACTCCTTCCTTCCTTCTTTCCTTCCTTCCTTCCTTCCTTCCTTCCTTCCTTCCTTCCTTCCTTCTTTCCTTCCTTCCTGTCTTTCACTTACTTTGTAGATTGGCCAACTGTCAAATGTCTCTAGATGGCTTACAACTAGGAATGTTAGGCAGGTGTTCTCTAAGCATTTTTTTAAAAATTTGCCTTGGGTTGCCATTCCATCCTTTCTTCAATTTTTCTGTTTAGGTCCATTTGAACATAATTCCTCGTTGACTGAACAAACAAGGAGTTGAAGAATTGTTTTTGTTTCAATTCAGTGTCTAGATATAGTGCCCTGGTGTAGTTGTCATATATAAACAGTTTAAAAGTTAATAAATTAGTCTTTACCTTGAGGAGCAGCTTGCAATGTTCTACCTGCAGTTGTCTGACTGGTAGTACAACCAGCAAATGTACATGCTGTGAGTGTGAAGTTGTAGTTTTCATAAGGCTGAAGTTCTAAATAAATATAAAAAAGGTGAAACCTACAGATATTTTTTTTAGGTTGGAGTTCTATTAGAGAGAAAATAGAATATACTTAACCCAAAACATTTACATTCATGGATTTTTTAAAAAATTGTATACGAATATTTATTCATATATCTTGGATGTTCAATGGTAACAGGAAACCAGGCCTTCAAAATACATGGTGGCGGGATACTGTTGAAGCTGACACCACCAGAGCATTAAAAAAACTCAAAGAAACAGTGAAAGATTGGAAGATATGGAGAGACCTCACCCATAAAATCGCCAACAGTCGGACTGGACTAAATGGATAACATCATCATCATCTGGATTTTCAACACAAGCTATATAAACATAGTTATTAACTTGGATATCAGGATCATAGAGAATGCTGAAAATGAACATGCTGTAATTCAAAATATTGTTTTTCTTCAATAATAAATCAGATGTGGCAACCTATTTGCTGTTGAGAGCCACCTTCTCTTCAAAGTAATTTGTAAAAAGCCACATGAGAGAAGACTGAAGCAAATAGTGGCTGAAGTTAGAAACAAAAATGAGTAAGATTTTCCCTATTTTTTCCAAGAATTACATTACAGGGGAAGGAACATTGAATGATTCTGTTTCTTAGGAGAGAAAGGTTGGAATAGAATAGAATAGAATAGAATTGGATAGAATGGGCTTTGGAGTCTAGCCCCCTGCTCAAGCAGGAGACTCTATACCATTTCAGACAAGTGGCTGTCTAGACTCTTCTTAAAAACCTCCAGTGATGAAGCACCCACAACTTCTGAAGGCAAGCTGTTCCACTAGTTAATGGTGCTCAATGTTAGGAAGTTTCTCCTTAATTCCAAGTTGCTTCTCGCCTTGATTAGTTTCCAACCATTATTTCTTGTCCTGCTCTCTGGTACTTTGGAGAATAATTGGCCCTCTCTTCTTTGAGTCAGCCCCTCAAATATTGGAATACTGCTATCACGTCAGCCCTGGTTCTTCTTTTCTCAGATTCTTGGTGCTAAATTCTGGGCAACTCAGAGAACTAAATCTTCATACATCATAAAGTGATATAAGTTCACTTTTTTTTTTGAAGCACACATAATTTTCCAAAAGTGATAATAAGTATTTCAGCCAATTGCCTCAAGAAACCTAAGAAACCACAAGCAGAGCCGGAAGCCAAAAGAGTTTCCAGTGCTGATTTCCCCCCCCCCAAAAAAAAATATACTCCTCCTCTTGTTTCTCATGTTTCATTCAGTGACAGTCAAGTATCTATTATTTTCCCTTTCCCTTTTTAAATTCAAACAGCAGCTGCCACTACTTTTAACTATTTACCAATTCCATTAAATAGGTATGTTTAGCTTTTGTATGTAGACCTGCATGTCTCCAAGTTTAGGGAATGCATCTAACCAATTTTTTAAGTAGAACTATTTATTTTATAATCATTAAATGTCTGTTAGCATCTATTCCCAAATGCATTCTCTTTTGCCATTCAGTACCAGTTTTAGAAGTCTTCTCCTATTTCTATACCCTAAATTCACAATTACCTCCTATTGTTCCTTTTGAACATGCCTCAGCATTTCTCTACAGTAAAACACTGCAAGTTTCAACATAACCTTTGAAAACTGATTTATAAATATGTAGATAGCTATTCATTCTTATGCATATGTTTCGAAAAGCAGTTATCAAGAAAGGAAAGCTTCTTGATTTTCTTTATTATGAGCTCCAAAACTGCTAGTAGACTTCTGCCCTCATTCTATTCTTTGCTTCCAATCTTCCTTGTTTTTTTGTCATTGAGGGATCCAGCGCTGTCTTATCTTTGCATTGCAACTACTTTAAGAAAACAAACAAACAATGGAATTCTATAGCAAGAAAGAGAAGAAAACCATAGGGAGTAGCACTTTGTCTAAAACTGGTAAGATGGCAACCTCATTGTTTCACCCCCTCCCTTTCTCAAAATGGTTGTATAGCTGTCAGTTGTTTCCAAAAGACCAGAATGAAAAGAAGAACAGTAAATAGTCACTGGGACTCTGTATTTCTTGCAAATTGAAGAGGGGAAAATACATGTAAAATCAAGAGAGGAGTCAAGAGGACAGACTGGACTACAATACAATTATTAACTAGAACAGAAGAAGGGAAATAATTATTTCTGTATTATTTTCATAAACATATTTTCTTTCTTAAAAAGAAAAAGAAGGTATGGATAGAAGCCAAATATTCAACATTTTGCTATTCGACAGATTATTCTAGCAATAGGTAACTTCAATTGTTCCTAAAGGGAATCATTTAATTCACTACTAAAAGGAAACATTTATTATGAAGCAATATTAATTTACAGCAGTATGCCATAGAGAGAGGCAAAATAAATAAATAAAAGGCAGGCAAAGAAGTGCTTATCCCACTTACTGCATCAGGGTATAAGCATCCTGTTTTTGCTATTTATTCGTCTGATATTAAAACACAGTGATAACAAGGGAGTCTGGATCACAATTTTGTTCTGTTCTGTTTACAAGCCTCAGTACATGCATACTTTTTGGACATGAGAACTTGAGAAATTGCATTAGGGTTTTTTAAAAAAGTATTTCATTAGTCTCCTTGAAAATGTAGAGATACATTAGCCTGGAAGAAGCTTTAGAAGTCTTTTTAATTCTGCATTCTTTCTGAAAATATTCAACATCTAAGAAGAGCTCTATATGTGCAAAAGCTCAATGCACATGTGTTTTAAGCATTCTTTTTCTTATGCAATTATTAACCACTCCATCCAAACGGTATTAACAAAGAGCTCTTCTTTTCAAGGAAACTTGGGACACTGAGTTCCAACTCAGCAGAATTCCATCTCTTACAGATTTGTATAGCACCCTTTCTTATGTTGAGCTTTTCCTTATACAATAGGTATATGAGGAATGAAAATCACTCGCCTCAACCAATTTCATGCTAACTTGTGTACTGTCTTAGAGATGAACATTTTAATTTACATAACTATATTCCATGACTGAGAAGGTTCCTATTGTAGAAAACCAATAGTGAGTTTTAATACAGGTGATGTGATGATCATGATGAAGATGAATACAAAACATCTCATACACATTATGCAGTAAACCCCTAAGAACATTCAGATAAGATTAGGCAATAATATTCCCGTCAGAGAAAGAATCAGAGGAATAGTGGTGCACTTAAGATCACTTCACCATGGAACTGATAACATTTGAAGTGGGGATTATTCTGCTTATTAAAAGTAACTTAGAATTAAGGATCTCCTCCAGCATAAAGTCTGCCTCCTTCAGATTTTTTAATGGAATTAATTCTGCAGAAGCGGGAATTAATGCATTCTGATAGAAATAGAGTATCTTATCTCGTCTTCTGTGTTTTCTCAAATATCAATGAATGTCCCAATTACCTTCTATGATTGTCATTCCATAAGCATCTTGAATTTCTAGAGAAGCTTTTGTATAAGATGTGTTAATAAAAATAAATGAGTAATATTTCTTTGGAGAAATTATGAGGAAAACAGAATGAGTCAGGACATAGTCTCTCTTTGCAAATTCTTTTCTTTGTGTTCTTTGGTACAGTAGTAATCAGACAAAATATTACATTAGCTGTGGCTAGTTCTTTTAAATTAATTCATGGATTAATATTGCAGAATGAAGAATATGAGTTGACTAACCCTTAAACTCAAATATTCTTAATTCCCCATGCTACTTCTCATTTGGTATAGCCATGAGGAAAAGATCAGAAACATTTGTTTACATTTTTTTATTAATGGTAATTTATCAATTATCTGAAGTCTACTTTGATATTCTTGTTAATTATGATTTGCTGAAATGAGCCAGCTTCATAAATTTGTATAGTCCACACTTGGATTTTTTTCTGGAGAAAATAAATCGCAGTTTGGCTCCATTTCATGTCATAAGAATCATAGAATAACATAAGGGTCCTTGGAGATCCAGTCCAAATCCCTGCTCAAGCATGAAACTTATATCATTTCAGGCAGATTGTTGTCCAATGGTTAAGGTTAAGGTTAAGGTTTATTGCACTTGTATGCCGCCCTATTCCCGAAGGGACTCAGGGCGGCTAACAAACCAAAGGGGAAAGGGATAATACAGACAAAAACAAAAGGCAAATAAACAAAATACAAAAACAATTTAAAAGCAACCAACAGCCACACAAATTCGAGAGGGGGTGGGAACTCATCGCCCCAGGCCTGTCGGAACAGCCAGGTTTTGACGGCTTTGTGGAAAGCATGAAGGGTGGTGAGGGTCCGGATCTCCACGGGGAGATCGTTTCAGAGGGCTGGAGCAACCACAGAGAAGGCCCTCCTCTGGGTAGTCGACAAACGGCATTGGCCAGCAGATGGAATTCGGAGGAGACCTAGTCTGTGGGATATAATAGGACTTTGGGAGGTAATTGGCAGCAGGCGGTCTCTCAAGTACCCAGGTCCAATACCATGAAGGGCTTTATAAGTGACGACTAGCACCTTGAAGCGTATCGGGAGACCAATAGGCAGCCAGTGCAGCTTGCGGAGGATAGGTGTAACGTGGGTGTACCGAGGTGCACCCACAATCGCTCGCACGGCTGCATTCTGGACAAGCTGAAGTCTCTGAATGCTCTTCAAGGCCTGCCCCATGTAGAGCGCCAATCTCTTCTTAAAAATCTCCAATGTTGGACCAAAGGTATTTTTCAAAAGGCAACTGGACTTTCTTGTTTTTTCTTTTGAAGATGTTTCACTTCTCATTCAAAAAGCTTCTTCAGCTCTGACAGGGAATGGAAGGATTTATATTTCTTGCAGACAGTTGGTAGTCTGCACCCTTTAAGAGGGTTGTTGAAGCACTTAGAGGTTTATCTATTATCTGAGTGACCCTGATAAGTTTGATTAGTTTCCATCCATTGCTCCTTGCCCTGCCTTCAGGGGCGTTGGAGAATAGATTGACCTCCCCTTCTTTGTGACAGCCCCTTAGACATTGAACATCGCTACCACGACATCCTTAGTCCTTCTTTTCATTAAACTAGACATACCCAATTCTTGCAACCATTCTTCATAAGTTTTAGCATTCAGTCCCCTAAGCATCTTTGTTCTTTTCTGCACTCTTTCAAGTGTCTCAAGAAGCAATTAATTAAAAATATGGGAAACAGCATATAAGCCAATGACTTCCTGGGGCTAATTCTTATAACATCAATTCATAGCTTAATGTTGCAGCCAAATGAGGCCTCCCTCCCCCCCCATCCCTTTAAAATTCCAAATCTTGGAATTTCTTTGTGAACATAGGAATGTTGATGGCTGATGACTCAAGACGGCATGTTCTGAAAAATTTGAGAAAACAACTATACCTGCATCCTTTCAGACTGCACGTTTGGCATCTCTCACTTTTTAAAGAAAATAGATGAACATGCTAGATCTTACAATATGTCATAAGCTCATTGGTGCAATTTACTCGACAACCAAGATTTTAATGCTGAGAGTTAGACTTTTTGCTTTTGCAGTTCTCTAAACCTGTATCTATTTTGCAAACATCCTTAATACAGGTACTTATCTATACAATCTTTTATGGATTAAAGTCAGCATTGCTGAAATTAAAAATTAGTACCTGGTCCACAGAAATATATGCCACAATGGTTTAGGATATTATAGGAATTCTTGCTGGTTTTATACAACTTGGAATTATCCTATGGGAATTAAAGAACACAATTGTGAAAATCTTCTGGTAATCTGGCACAAAATGTGTATAATGTATGCAATTCATATATCAAAAACTATTCAACCAACTTTAAAGTCTTAGTGAAAAATATTACACCCTTCATCCATTCCATAAATTCTAGAAACACTTAAAATCTAATATTGGACTTTGAAAAATGAATTTCTGACTTTGATTTTGATACCAAAATGAGCAGTTTCAGTTTTCTTTTAATACTTCTGCTCCCTCCAATATTTTAGACTCTTCTCATCCTCCTAGCATTGTGTTAGAAATGTTATTTGTAAAGAAATTGTAACACCAAGTGAAACAATGCAATAACTGTCATCCAAATTGTTCTGTACAGACTACTGGAAGTATTCACTAATAAATGATATAAAAAGGTATTTTATTGACAAGCTGCCATTTGCTGTTTGCATTAGAGAACATGAGAAGATGATGGCTGGTGCCCCTTGATCCCAATGGCATTCAAGTCAGGGCGATAGTGGAAAATGCTTCAGTTTACTTAAAGCACTGATAACACCTCTAAATAATTAACTCAGGACTTCCTGTCTCCAATTACTTAATGCTTTTTTTAAACATCTTGAGAGGATTATAAGCAATTTATGGATTTCACATGATGAACACATTCGCCACAATTCCCACCAAGCATTTATGGGATCATGTTTCCAAAGCTTTGATGTAATTAAAAATAAGAAGTGAGACAATGGTGCAGAGGCAAGGTGCAAGCTGCCTCATCTGCAATTTGTAAGGCCCTTGGATTCAAAGTATCAGGGAAAGCTTAATGCTACAGCTTCATTAATGTTCAAATGTTGCTCTGGGAACAGCAGAGGTTTTAGAAGAAGATGAGAAAATCAAAACATAGGCCCACGGGAGCTGGAACGATGGGTAGTTCAAACAGTTGAGTTATGTGAAATAAGTACAGTTGATTTAGCGAACATCATGAATTTACAGAGCAATAATTATCACGTTGCAGAAGCACAATCACTCCTTGAGATGAAAAAGCAAATTTGCCTTGATCAGGGAAAGGGGTGGGGTTCCTTGCTACATTAAAGGAATGATGTTTCTTTAACCCGAAGTGTGTAGAAGAATAAATATGCATTGGCAACTGCTATTGCATTGCAACCCCTACCCACTTTAAATTATAAAATTTGGGGATAAAGGAAAATCCTAGTTTTGCACAAAACTGTAATGAAAGGGAAAATGTTGCCTTTTGTATTTTTGTTTTTAAGCTTTTTTAACCAGGCACTGATGCAAATGGGAAATTTTCAGCAGAATTTTTGTTCCATTTTTTCATTGGTGGTTGACTAACTCATTTTGTTCTATACTTAATAATATCACAAAGCAATAATAGCTATACAAATATTTGAAAATCTAGGGAGAAAGGCAAGAGTTAACGCAATCCAGGAGTTTGTGTTATGACAAGTTATATTTTGGATTAAGTTTTTGAAGTTTGACAAATGGATTTGTAAAAATAATCACTGACTTTTTAATGAAAGACACAATAGTTTAAAATGCAGTATGAAGGACTCCAAAGATCTCTGGAAAATATTGCTTGGACAATCTTATTGCTATTCTCTCCGATGTCTTTTGTTGAATCTGATACTGAACCATAGTAAAATTGATTTGCTAATTGACTTCTGACAATTTATTAATTGCAATTTTAATACGAGTGACAGGGACTTGGTTCTTTGCAGATAAGCCAGCTTTCAGGGAAGCTTTACTTTTTTTAAAAAAACAGGTCCTTATCAGGAAGCAATAGGATCCTTGGGTATAATCCCAAAACAGCACCACATGAACAGCATCAACATGGACAAAATCACCATCAGTCAATTCAAAAGGCATCTTTACTTGGAGGAGTTTACATCCTATGATGATGATGACGATAGCTTTTGGACCATTCAATGTCAACATCTGCCTATCCCAGGTCTTTGGGAAGAACTCAATGGGTGAATAAAAATGCCAAATCCTGTCTCAATGTCTGGTTGATTGTGCAATTAATCATAATAACAATACACTCCTCTAAAGGTGATTGGTAAGTTCTTAAATAAAAATATTGGCAATAGAAATTAATCATTATTGTTCATTATTATTGCTAGGATAAGGAAATTCTTATAAATTAAGGGTTAATAAACATTTGTGCGGACTTTCAAGAATTGCTACTATTGGTGTTCTGAAATTATAATTCAATTGTTATATTCACTTAAAGGGTTGTTCATCGTAAGGAGTGCAGTGTTTAAAAAACAGACTAACATAAGAAGACAAGTTAAATAAAACACTGATGTCATTTCCTTGAAGAACTTTCTATTCTTACCTGTGAGGGTGAGCTGCACCTGGTCTGCAGGGCCAGTACATATAAGTCCCCTTCCAATTTGATGGATGAGGTATTCTTTGATTAAACCATTTGGCTTCTTTGGTGCTGCCCAACTCAAATGCAAGGTTGTTGCATTTAGAGGTATAATTGTTGGTGGCAGAACATTCTCCGGAATTCCTTGGACAGTGACTGCAATTACCTGAATGCAAAAAATTAGCAATTTATTGTAATAGTACACAAGATATCCTGATCAATGAGAATGTCACTTCTAGTTTAAAATATTGTTGTTTGTTCTGGCATATCATTACCATGGCACTCTGTAGAACAAGTTATTTTTCTTCTGAGGTGATTTTTCTCCCCTCGGAGTGAAATCTGACCTTGAATATATTTCCGTATGAATCTAAGTGTACAATTTATCACAACAGATTTTCTGTATTTTGCTAGTTGAAAGGAACTTTTGGAAGGCAGACTGTCTTACCAGAGAATGCTGGCTAATTCCTTTCCATATAGTTAACCGTTTGATATCATGTGACATGAATCAGGATCAACTATTGCCATAAACACTGAAGTCCTGCTACCCTTAATATGGTCTAGGGATGCCAACAGAAATAATTGTTGTTTCTTCCTCATCTTCCAGAGCTAAGGACAGTTTCCTGGTGTACAGAGAGCAGTGGTTCATTAGCTCTTGTATTAGAAGAGATACAAGTGATCAAGACAATGTCAGTGTGGCAACTCTTTTTTAGTTCCCAAGCCAGGCAATGCCCTATTCTTTGAAGTTCAGTTAAAAGATTTCATCAACCAGACATAAAAATTCAGAGCATGAATTTACATGCTGTTTGGCCAACCTGGTTGACTTCTCCCATTTCTTGTCCTGGGCTACAGCACACGGTGGCTGGTAGAGTTTCTCTGAAAACATCCAAATATGTAGAAAAAAGACGAATGTTTCCATATTTTCAGTTGTCTCTTAAAGGCTGCTACAACATAATGAAGGAGAAGACATGCTGTCACCAACTTATTGAAAGATTTACCTACCGTGCTACTGTCTGAACATCCAGCCACAGTGCAAGCACGCAATAAATATGAGTATTCCTGGTATGGTTGAATATCACTGGTATCCATGAAGTTCAGTTCCTTTCCTCTGAAATGTTCAACTCCATTTCGGAGAATAATATAATAAATGATGATACCTTATTAATAAAGAAGGAAATTAAAACACTTGTTTGAATTAAATGTATGCCAGATAATTATATACTAAATTTGTAAAGTATTACAATGATTGTATAAGAAAAAGATAGGCTTGAACCATAACCTGATACCAAGACTAAATAATATACTGGATGACTTTTTTTTTTTTACTCATTACAATTCCCTGAATGAATTTTAGGTCTATACGTTCTGGTTACACTATTCCATCTTCTCCTTTCTCAAATTAAGTTTGACTCCTAGTTACTTTGTGGACATATCCACAAATTACTTGGAAGTAACATGGAAGTAGTTTGCCATTGTCTTCTTCTGGGATGTTTGGACCTTTCCTTTCAATTTTCAATTAATTAATTAATTAATTAATTAATTAATTAATCAATTAATTTTTAAAGATACATCTTAATATAGAGCAATAGTGGTCAGAATCAGTGATTTTTATTGAAAAAAATACAAGTTTAAACAATGTCTTATAAACATCATAGATTTTTATGAGCTATGATATTATATTGAGTATAGTATAGGAAGATGTTCTTCAACTCTACTTCAATCAAACAAACAGGAGCACCAACTTTAAATTCTTCCTTGCATCTATGCCAGAGAAAAGAAAGAGAGAAAGTACAAGAGCCCAGGATTTGTTCATACAACATTCACCATAATGTAACTTTACATTCAAATGAGAAACTGTAAAAGTTGTGGGTTGGGGAATGTCATGAACAAGATGCCAATATGATAAGGCAGGAAAAAAAAGTTGAGCTACATTTTATACTATACTCCATATTGTACTCTTCTCCAGTGGGTCCATCCTTCCTGAAATAATTTAGAAAGGTCCTTTGAAGCACTTGGAGGAATGACCAGAGGTGGGTTGCTACCAGTTCACATCAGTTTGGGCGAACCGGTAGTGGAAATTGAGACTGGGACACCGAACCAGTAGGGATGGCAGGCTGGCCACACCCCCAAACTAATTCCCCAGTTGCCCATGCCCTTGCATGTTTTTAGTCCCTTTTAAATGTTCTGCGCATGTGCAGAACAATTTATAGGCAACTGCGATGGGCATGCAGAGAACTGGTAGTTAACAACGGCAGCAACCCACCCCTGGGAGGAACGATATAGCACTTGACAGTAGAATTTAAAAGGAACTCTGTCTTCTCTGGGAAATACACGGCTACCCTAAGAAAAAGACCAGCTGCTTTAAAGGTTTATGGATAGATTCTATATTCACAGTCCTGTGCACCTGAACACTTTTGATTTTGAAAGCAAAGTGTGTGTGTGTGTGTGTGTGTGTGTGTGTGTGTCTATACACACTATATATTACATGCATATGTCATACACATACACAAATTTGTGTGTATGATCATGTTTTTATATGGACATATTTATGTTTGTGTATGATATATATTTATTCATCTACACACAAATTGTTCTTTGATGATATATAAAATATTAGGGATATGCTTAAGCACAATATTATTTTACTATAAATGTTTTTGTTCCCAAAATACCTTGTGCTGGGTAAATGTTAAATCAGACATTGTAGTTTGCCAAAATACTGTACCATTTGGTTGACAAGGTTCCTTCCATGTTAGAAATATTACATCTTCACGATTATCCACTTTTGTCCAATGAGGTGGATGTATACCTTCAGGGACATCTTGTTCAGTGGTTGCACTGTTCATTTCACTAAAGCCTTTCCCATGTTTGTTCCACACAGCTAGCCTATATTCATATGTAATATGAGGTTCTAGATTCTTATCTACAAGGAAAATATTTAACAAGAGTTTATTGTCAATCTATATGCTAAGTATACCGGACTTCTATTTAGATATATCTAACTCAATCTGGTTCACTTTCAGATTTGTGAATTCATCTTTTCATTCCATAAGCTTTGCACTTTAGAAGAATGGTGCATAAATCAAATTTTCATTACACATACATGGGATAAAGAAAATGGGTTTTTTTCTTCCTCAGTTGTAAAAATAGTAGAAAGTGAAATCATTTAGTGAAACGTATGCTTTTAGCGGATGACTTTGGGGTGAAAGTCCAGTGCATTAAATAGGGAAACAAGAAGAACCTTCAAAAGTGACAGAGTTTTTTTGCCACATTTTTAAGTAATTGAAGCAATAATCATAACAATTTAAATACATTAACTGCAGCATCTAAAATATCTAATCTCACAAGAGGATGCAAGATATGGAGCAATTCATCTCAAAGCCCCCATAGTTAAGGGATGAATTTGCACCACTATCTCTGATAGATTCAAATTATGGAGACCACATGCAAAGCAAGATTGTACATATGTTTTCAGAGATGTGAGTTTAGAAAAAGAAACAGCTGCTTTAATGATTCAAATAGATGTATCATGTACACACGTATATGCATTGCAAAGCATTTTTTCAAAAAGTTTATATAATTTTAATAATCAGTTATAAATTATGATGGGTATAAGTGACCTGTTTCAGAAATCTGGACTCATTATGAAGATAGGAGAGGTGAACTTTTGGTAATCCCTTGGTTCGATGGACTCTTAGTTTGATTCAATTAGACTCCTACATTTACAATATATATTATTCCAATTATAATTAGCATTGTATTGATATCTATCAATGTACTGATAAAAAGATTTGATTCATTTGAAAACGATTTCCAAAGAGGCCACATGATACTTCACTGAACTGATTTCAGAATTTATAACCTTTAGTTAATGAGTCATCACATATTATTTTACCTTTGAATGAATACTGAGTTGGGCCTCCTGTATAAATCTTTTCCTCGAAAGATGGGCATACACTTTTATTTTCTCTATTTTTTGTATAACTACAGGAACTCTTTATCCAAGCACATAAACAAGTATGGTCGTCAAAGTTACACTGCCCACAGTATGTCACTTCTTCAGTAGATCTAGGACACAGTGGGATGCATTTCGATTCTTCTTTTATCTATAACAATAGTTACCATACTTTTGAAGACCTTTAAAAACAACTTAAATAGACATGCACAGACAATTTTCTGATACACATTTCCAAGCTCTTATAATGGTACCTTTCATGAAATACCAATATTTTACCTTACTATATTTCAATTGGATCATTTTTTTAGTTTATTCATAATTTTTTTTAAGACTCCATTTTAAAATCCTATTGGCTTTATGTTTTAATGTACTATTTTTAATGTACCATTTTTGAGACAGGAAGCAAAGAGAAAAACTCCCAAATGCTACAATTCAGTAGGTGTCTATTTACAGATTGTCATTTTTGTGAGTCACTTCCCGGTTTTGGAATCCCTTCTTTAGAAAGTTCCTCCTGGCACCAATCTTGATGTATCAAACTTTTAACCCAATAGGTTTATTGCTTCTTATTGAAACCCTCTGGAACCTTCTAACTTAATTACATTTCACTGAGTTGTTAATTTTTAATATGTATTTCATAGCTGAGTGGGTAAAGAGGCTGAGCTTATCAGCTGGAAAGTTGACAGCCTGGGTTCAAGATGCAAGTGCTGCATGATGGGATGAGAGCCCGTTATTTGTCCCAGGTTCTGCCCACTTACTGACAGCAGTTTGAAAGCATTCAAATGCAAGTAGATAAATAGGTACCCCTTTGTTGGGAATGTAACAGTGTTATGTACACTTCAGTGTATAGTCATGCTGGCCACATGACCACAGAAGTGTCTTCAGACAATGCTGTCTCCCTTGGCTAGGAAATGGATATTAATACCAGCCCCTAGAATTGGACATGACTGGATAGGGGAAACTTTACTTTGCCTTTACAGATGTTTTATTTTAATCAATATTTTTGTTTTAGCATTTGATAGTTTGGACTGCTTAATATTTCTTCTTATTTGTGCTCATATGGCCATGTTAAAATGATACATTTTGGCATTCCCACCCTTTCGTACATAAATACCATATGTTTATTGTCCATGCAAACCCAATTCAAACTTTAAGAAATCACTAGCTATATAATGAAACAACCAAATAAGCAATTGAACATTACTATATATACATATACACATTTTTCAGCCAGGCCAAAATGTTAACTTTTAGCCTTTATACTAATCTGAAGTGCTGAACAACACTTTACAAGAAGCAGCTAATCATTATTAATTCCTTTAGAATTCACTGCAATAACATCAATCATGGCAAACTCATTTGGTATTAATATGGATGTAATGCAAAAATGAATAATGCACAGAGGAGTTTTTATATTCCTATTTTACAAAAATAGTTATGAACAATGTATTTCCCTTCCCATTGTCAAATCAGAACCACCAAGAGGTTTTCTATCAATTACCTTCATCATCATTCTAGTTGAAATGCTGTCAGCGCAAACATATTTCAAGGGATTATATCCAAGTCCATTACAACATTCTTCGCTCTCTGGAATAAGTTCAATCACACAGCATTTTAATGGCACTGAGTTATTCTTTTTAATGTGGGCTTTAGTTTCACCACTGAAGGTTGAGCAGCATACTATACTTGACATATTCACATATTCATGTCTACCACAGAACACTCCTGAAACAAGAAAATATTCTACATGAAGGCAAGAAGAGGAAAAAGTGAAGGAAATTCCAAGAATGCTATAAAATTCACCATAAAAGTTCCAGCATGATGCAGCTATTGAAACAGAGGAAAGGCATCTTAATGTTCAGTTTTACATGTCAGAGAGGCCTTTGTTTAGTGACTAATCTTGAAGAACCAGCAATCTCCTTTGTTTTGCATAGGTTGCAGAGTGTAACTATTTGTAGTTCATATGTCATATTCCATATTCACTTATATTTTTTCAATTAAAAAAGTTAGGTTGCTTATCAAAAAACAAAACAACCCCCCTCCCCAGTTTTGTCAACAAATGAATCAGTGAAAGGCAGGTTTTCTAAAGTCATATAAAATGTAACATAGATTTGTTTATTAGGAATAGACATTACGGTAATTCCCTTAATGTCTATACATTAGTATATCAGAGTTCTAGTCTAATTTTGTTTCTTCTCCAATTCATTTCTCAAGAAAAAGTGTTAGCATGTTGTTATTTTCTTTCAAAAAAGGAGGTATCTCCTCTTTTTCATCTCCAGATGGTCCTTCAACATTGGAAAAGGGATTTGGAAGATCCACTGGAGGCAAGGTTCCACCAGTTCAAATGTCTTTCCACTGCTGATTAGACATGATTGTATTCAAGCCACAATATTTTACTGTGATTTATGCATATTCTTTAAAGCACTGCTTTATTATAGTTGTCATTCTGTAACAGTATGCCAGAGATTAAAAATGGGTTCCAAAAATTCATAAGTAAAGATATGAAACATAATTTAAGTTGTATTTGTTCCTATTCTTAAATTCTTTCTTGTGGAAGCCAACTCCTGTGTTACAAGAATAAAATAGATACAAAAATAGGCCATGCTCACAATCTATATTTTCAATGATATTATGCATTGATCAGAACAATATACAGTGCCTATAAATTACACAAGTGTTCTATATTTCTCAGAAGAAATATTATGTTTTCCAAATTGTCCAAGTGTGTATAGAATAACAGGCTTGGATTTAAGTGTATATATGGACACTTTGGAAACTAATTTTGATTAATGCATTCAATCTGTCAGTAGTCCTTGATAATATTGTGATTCAGTATTTACACAAGCTAATTTTAGGAGAGCTATAACTTGCTTAAGACAGAAACGCAATCTGGAAGAGAATAAATAAGGTCAAGTCATCTAATTGGGCAGACCAAAGTTCAGCTCTTGAATCCATACAGAGGTTTTGAAGTTCTGTCTTGAATATCTCCATTAACAAATTAAGTAAACATCAGGTAACCATAGTTACTCTTTCTCAGGCTGAAATAGTTTTGCCAATCCAAATAAATTGTCTTGAATTAGCCGAATCAACAACTTTGCTTGGAATAAGGCAGCCTCTACATTGTTAAACCTCTGAAAAAAAAGGTAGCATCTATACCAATATTGTATGAACTCTTTTTTATATATGAAGAACCACTGACACAAACAAGGAGAATGCCATAAAGCTATCAGGGTTCTTATAAACAGCAGACGCTCCTTGGAACTATATCATCTGTCTTCCTGAGGTAGTTGTGGCATCAATTTACAATTGAATCAGAATAGAACTGGAAGGGATCTTCTAGTCCAGCCCCCTGCTCAAGCAGGAGATCCTATACCATTTCAGACAAGTGAACTGTCAGTCTCTTCTTAAAAGCCTTCAGTGATGAAGCACCCACAACGACTGAAGGCAAGCTGTTCCACTGGTTAATTATGGAAGTTGAGGAAGTTTTTCTTTAAATCCAGATTGCTTCTCTCTCTGATTAGTTTCCACCCATTGTTTCTTGTTTCGCCCTTTGGTGCTTTGGGAAATAAAGTGACCCCTCTTTGTGGCAGCCTCTCAAATACGGGAACACTGCTATCATGTCTCCACAGTCCTTCTTTTCTCTAGACTATCCAAACCCAAATTCTGCAACTGTTCTTTGTATGCTTCGGTCTCCAGGTGTTTAATCATCTTAGTTACTCTTCTTTGCACTTTTCCCAAATTGCTCTTAGGTTTCACTCCTGATTATTGATGCTTCTTCATGAACTTTTTAAGAACCATGCATAATAAAATCTATAGGAATTGGCATCACAAAATAAGCAATTATATAATAGAACCTCTATTATCAGATAGGTTTGATAGTTTAAGGATTACCATGCCAGCAAGAATAAAAATGAGAGAGGGACCTCTGCCAGTTTTTTTAATTAAAATTATTCTTCATTATCTTCTTATTGTGGAAAAGAGGACATTTACTTATGCTTCTTAAAGGCATTTTCATTGTCTCATAAAACACATTCCTTCATACAATTGCCTTCTGCCTATAGATGCAGTGTTCAAACAGGCAAGTGTGCAGTTGTTGTTTTTTGTTGTCCATAATAATTCCTCAGCATGATAAACCCTCCATGCTCCTTTGGCATATTAAATTGGTAAGCATGTCAGTAATTATAAGGGAAGGAATCATGAGGGGGGTCAAAAATAGAAAGTGCAAACCATTTTTTAAGAGATATTCTAAACAAGATCTCTGAATGCATCTCTTATTTATCACACAGTCAAACATTCAGTAAGGATTTTTTTCAACAACCCTTAAAAATTAGATTATAAAGATGCATCTTAGCTGAGGAGACATTATCTGATATAATAAACCTAATGATTAACTCAACCATGCAATCAACAAAGTGATTTTATTCATTGGGTTAGTTAAATTCAAATGCATGTAAATGATACAATATCATAGTGGAACCAAACTTTTAAAACAAGACAGTTTAATCATATATACTTTCAGACAATGGTTTCTTTACAAGAAATACATTATTAAACCCTGAGAGGGTAATAGGTGAATCAACTGATTATTTTTTCCATTCTACTTACACAGCAGTAAGCAATTTTATTCACTGAATGTCTTTTATTTCAATTCATTTTAGTTCTACCATAAACAAGAGACTACAGGAGTTTTTTTTTAAAAAAATATTTGTATCCTGCCTTTATTATTTTTTATAAATAACTTGGGGGCAAACATACCCACCACATCTTCCTCCTCCTATTATTCCCACAAAAACAATCCTGAGAGGTGAGTTAGGCTGAGAGACCGTGATTGAACTAAGGTCATCCAGTTGGGTAAGGTGGGATTCAATTTTTTTTACTACTGGTTCTGTAGGTGTGGCTTCATGGGCATGGCGTGGCTTGGTGGGAGTGACTTGGTGGGCATGGCAGGGGAAGGATACTGTAAAATCTCCATTACCTCCCCACGCCAGGGGAAGGTTACTGCAAAATCCCCATTTCCTCCTGATCAGCTGGGACTCGGGTGGCAGAGAATAGATGGGGGCGGGGCCAGTCAGAGGTGGTATTTACTGGTTCTCTGAACTACTCACAATTTCTGCTACTAGTTCTCCAGACTAGTCAGATCCTGCTGAATACCACCTCTGCTAAGGAGGGACTATAACTCATGGTCTCCCAGTTTTAAGCCTGATGCTTTACCCGCTAGACACTGACTTATAGGGTTAAATGCATATAGTGACAACAAAGAATTTTAAAACTTAACATTCAATTGAAATGAGATTGTTTTTGTGACTGATAGGCAACTGCAAAAGACTGTAGAAGATACTTTGTTCATGATCACTGCAGGAAGATTATTATATGCACAAAGATGGAAAAACTTTGAAATAGCCACAATGGAGGAATGGTTGGTGAAAATGATAGAATTTGCAGAGATGACAAAATTGGCTCGCTTGATTAGAGAAAAGACAAGAACTACAGTGACCAGAAACTTTTAGAAAAAAATGAAGTTGTGATTTATGGGTTTGATGAACAGAAAGGGTGGAATATGGAACGAAGGGAGCCACAATATAACTATATATAAAGATGGAAAAACTTAAATATAAATGCAATTATATAAAATAAATATAAATTCCAGAAGGCCAACGAGATAGGTAAGTGACAGACTATTCCAAAACATGCAGCTACAGCAGAGAAAAACCTCCACTTTCACCTCCTCATTTTATGGCATTATTTTTCCCAGGTTATTTGTAAATGACAGGGATGGTTTCCACTGAAGATACCTTGGCCCCAAGCTGTATGGGGCTTTATAGGTTAAAAGTAGCACTTGATATTACACCAGGAAACATATCAGCAGCCAATCCAGAGTCCATGGCACAGGCCTACTATGTGTAGTAGCCTAGCACTGGTTCACCTGAGGATTGCGTCCTGAGCAGTCTAATAGGTATGACAAGTGAGGCAGAGTTTATTTTATTTATTTATTAAATATGTTTGCTGCTCAGCTTACCATGAGGTAATTCTGGAAAGCTTACAAGCTTAAAAAGAATAAAACAATACAATTACTGCTCCTTTCCTATCCTCCTCCAAAATGTGTGATTACATGTGATTACATCATACAGTGATTTCTTTTTAAATAACAAGTGAAAGCATTCTAATTTAGACATTCTTTGGACCGGCAAAGTAAACTTTCGCTAATGAATTGCTTTTATGCTAGGAAGAAAGAGAAAGCTATATTCTACCACTAAGAATCTCATCTTTGTTTGACTGAATAATATTTTTAGCCAAGATTTCACTCATATAACAAGAAGTGACTCCCTTTCTAGTTTCTTTGGTAAACCATTACTTCTTTAATTATTATCAACCTTGTTCCAGCGTGATAAATTGCTAATTACTTAATACCCTAATCAGCGTTCATTCTTTGCACAGATAAACTGTGACAGCGCCATTAATTTAAATAGTAATTTCACTTAATGGCCAGAACGGCACACCAGATTTTTATGCAGCATTTTCTGAAGACTGCATCCATCACTGCAATATTCTGACATAAAGATGTCTGACGTGCACTAACTCACTTAGGGAGAGCAGATGTTGCTGAGCAGAGTTTGGTAGTAATTCCCATAGTGCATCACTTCAGCATGAATGAGCTGCTGCAAATTCAGAAACAGACATCCTTCTGAAACCAAACAGCATAGCCTTTGACCTTACCCTAATTTATC